CGTGGGGCAACAATTTTAATACAGACGAACATAAAAACCATAAAAATCCTTTATTTCTGCTCATTTGACTCTAGCATACACAGAAAGAATTCCCCTCTCTGAGTCCAAGAAAAAGGATATAGAACTGATTAATAAAAACGTTATTCCCAAAGAGTATTAAGAGTAAACTAAACGTTTTAACGGTAAAATATACTTAAGTAATAATACCTTTGTTTTTCTTATGCACAGATTTTTGTTTTATGTAGATCCCTAATATTTTTGATACCTAGTTATAAGTTTAAAACTTACCTGTCTGTAGTTTTAGTTTTGTTTTTATACTCTTTTATTTATTATGCTTTTATTTTAAAAATAAGTTGAGGCATTATAAAGTATTGTTTTATTTTCCAGTAAAATACAGTAAACATCTTATTTTGAAAGGTTGTGTTACGCACAGGTTTTTGGGTTAGTCAAGGCCCGGGTTTTTTGGGTTTTACTGTTATAAAAAAATGTCTTTGAAATATTTGTCACAAAGACCTACTAATTCCAAAGCTAAGTCGAGTCCGAGGTCTAGCCATTAGTGGTAACGTAGGTACGTGAAACTTTCGGTAGTTATAAGTTAAAAAACTCTGAAATAGTTTAAAACAAAAATCTTTTTTAAATCAAGTATATCAAGGTTGTACTGTTTAGTTTTTGATTTTTGATTTTTTTGTTTAAATAAAAATTTAAATAAAACAAATTCTGGTGTTTCATTTAAATTTAATCAATACACAATGGCTAAGTGCCTTTTTCATGAATTGACTTATTATTTTTTCTCTCAGTTGAAAGTGTATCAACTCAAAAAATTTAAACAAAACTGTTTTAAGTCGAAATAACGAAAAAAAAATGTTAATAAACAATACCGTAGAAAAACCAAAAATCCATGTTTTTAACTTGTTTAAACCATTTGCATCAAATTTTTAATGAATACGTTGTTTTAACGGCAATTCTAAGTCATTAAAACAATCCATAAAAATTAATTATAAATAATTTACCAAAAATCACTTTTTCAACAATTCTGCGAAACTTGTTTTTTTGAGTTAATGTAGTTTTGATCTAGGTGTGCGATATCGAAGTACACCGAGAATATAGGCGAATTCCATCCCAATGACATTTAAGATATAGAATATCTTTGAAAAAAAAAGATATACAGAAAAAATTTCAGAAAACATCAGAATCAATGAATTGGAGGAACTTATATAGCAACAGGATGGCGCCCCTCTTCATAATGTTGCTCCAGTGATAGAATATTTAAATAATACATATCCAACATAGATTGTTGGATATATATGGCCTAGATCTTACTCTCCTAGATACCGTTAATGGAATTATTTAGAAAACAAAACTTATTGCATGGCACTGTAGTTGACAACAAAGAAATAATTAGGAGTGAAATAAATGACATTAACGATTGGCAACAAGACTGACTTAGATAAGTTAAAAAGACGGCTTTCAATATTGTACTGTATTATAATGTATTGGGCGCTCCTATTTGAATTTTTACAATTTTTTCCATAAAACGACATAATTTCGAATTTTTTGTCAAGTGAAAACATGATTTTTTTATTAAATTTTAAACACCACACACTGTCATAGATAGAGATAAGACGTGACTGGAGTTGGTGTGACGCCATGATCCAACTAAGTGACGATTTTATTTTTGGCAAATTCCGACCTTAGGTAAAAAAATACCTATATGTTCTATAATTTTTAAATAAGCGTAAAACTACCTTTCTTTTTATGAAATAATACACTACACATTATGTCTCACCTTGTATATAAGGGAGTATGTAACAATAAATCTACCCACTAAACCTAACTTTTTTGTCAAAAGATTCTCAAAAACTGTTTAAAATGGTCAGGGTCCTTTTTAATTAAAACTAATTTAACCCTCCCCAGTTTTTATTTTCTGGGCAAAGTCTGACCCACCACCTCTTTCAAGGTAGCTGAAAATTGTTTGAAGCAATAAAGGCAGCATTTCTTAAAAAGAATTCCAAACTCAACATGTGAGTCACAGTGATGACTTTTAATTCATGCACTGATATTCGAGCAACACAGTAACATTTTAAATGAAGTGCTAGAACCAGGCATAACTTTAAATCAAGACAAAGACAAAGAATTACAGTAGATCCGGAAAAAATCTAATCTTTACAAATAAAGGAGGGTCGGTCTAAAGTTGATTTTAAAAATGTCCTGTTTGTGTCAGACATCAGTAAAATGAAATGTTGAATCCTCGAATAAATTGTTCTCAGTGTAAAGCCAGTGTGTAGTCGAGAACTTCATGAATATATTAATCAACTCACTAAGTACTTACAGCAAGAAATCATTAAATGTTCTAACTAAAATATTTTCTCTTATCAAAAATAAAATTCATAATATCTCGCATTCGCATGGTCATAATGATAAAAAACTGCAATCGAAATCCCGACCAACGCGTAGGTAAAGTCGACCAACCAACCTATGCGCTATCGATGTCCATGAGTTTAGCGGGGCCATACGAACGTGCTCTCAGAGCTCTCAATAAATTGACAAGAAATTTTGCTTTTAGATTTAATCAAATGCGCGGGAAAAAGATGGTGCAAATTTCCACTCAAAACAGTAAAATGGAGAAAATAACATAGAAAATAATATATCACCTGAGAGCCAAAAAGAAATTGATTCAAATTTTCAAATGCAATCATCAACTGTGTACAAACTACAAAGAATGTTACAAATTATTTAAAGAAATCATAATCATTATTCAATAAATATTTTATATACTCAAGAAGGCAATAAGGAAAGCCTTACAATACCAGAAATATGTAGTTCAAAACCTAGCAAATACAATGGAAGATAAGAAAAGTTTCTTCTTAACATGATGAAGATTCAGACTATGTACTAGACGAATCCGGCCAAACAAACAAATTTATGAAAAATTGGTATTGGCTCGTTGATAATTTTAGACAAGTCTTTTTATATTATAGATATTCAAGAAAATAGTGATACAGAATACGAAAATGATGAGTTCCGTCCAAGAAATATCCAGCTGGAGGAGTTGACCAAAATACTGCATCTATTGAATGTAAGTTATACTTGATTACACTTACCCATAAAAATAATAATTATCATTTTTAAATAAACAATACTTATTTCGGTACTTGGCATTAATTTATGACATATTTTAGAACATCTCACAAAGAAAGGCAATCCAAGAAAAGGAAGAAAGTGCGCTATATCATTCAGAGAAAGGAAGCTGGAAGAAAAAAGAAAGCATGACCCCTAGCATGCGAAAACGAATAGTTTAAATGTACAAGCAAAATAGATGAAACTAGAAAACAAGAAATAAACTCTCAATACTATGATCTACCCTGGATTAATTGCAGAAATTGGATCATCAAATATACTCAATCTCATCCAATTAACAAACTGTTCGTTTAATGTAAAAACCTACAGCGAGAAAAAGTCCGCAAAACATTTTTTCTAACCACGCTTGATTTCAAAAACATATTGCATCTACCAATCCCTACACGAAAAAGCACACGATATTTGCCTAGTCAAGTTATTTTTGTCGAAATGTATAAGGACTTCCTAAGTTTCCTGACAAGTTTTGCTGCTATGATTTGTACATGAAAGCCTTAAAAGAGAAGAAAATTAGTTCTACTAAATTGGGACCAAAAGAATATGAGATTCGTCGAGCATTTCAACAACCAACCAAAGAAAATTTGGATGAAAACTGTCTTATCTGTAACAAATAACCTCAAAACGTTCCGAAAGCTAACAGATCAAAACAAATTTACAGAAAATTTGTAAAAAATGAGATACAACAGAAAAATTCCGCTGATGCCTGGGAAAATTAATCTGGTTTGAATAATTAATGACTCATTTTTTCTGTTTTGATAGCTTTTCAAAAATAAAATTCTTTGAAATTCAAAGCTTCTTGCGTTGTTCATATTTATAACCTTAGTCAGAAGAATAAATGTTTTGCATTTATTAAAAAAGGTATTATAATTAGTTATTAATAATTATAAAACTAAAAGTAACATATTCTTATTTACTAGCTAAGCACGGTAAATAACAAATACTGGGTTATTGCTTAGTAAGATAAGTGACTCGTCAACTACGTGTATTAATCAAAAACCATTTAATGAATATGCCAGCAGAAAAAATATGACATAGTGACATTTTTAGTATGGTAAAGTTTTTTTTCAAGCGTTTTCCTTAAACTCAGAAACAAATCAGCTTAATGCCAAAACTCAAAAAGCTGTGTATTGTGTCTTTCTGATAATTTATATTAACTGTGAACTATGGGGGTAGTCTTTTATTAAATTAATGGGAAGAGATTTTTTTCATATGAAGAAAAGTTAGAATTGATAGCAAAAGGTAGGCCATTACCAGATATTACTTTTAAAAAAGCTGGTATAAGTAGGGGAAAAAGTTATACACAGATATTTAGTACTTAAAAAATGTTCCATATTGTTTTCCCTGCTTACTCTTTGGTGGCGATAAAGCTTGGACGTAAATAGGGGTCACCGATCGAGAGCATATAAGTTTGAAAATAAAAAGATATGGTAATTCTAAAAGCCACCTTCATAATTGTACAAAATCTTGCATTATTAAGGTCAACCAATATTACTCAATTAGACTCTTGTGACAAAGAATATTAATTATATTAAATTTTATATTATTTTAAATTTTGAGGCTTTTGAATTGACTCTTTAACTCTAAGTAAGCGCCTAAAAAATTCATCGATATTTAAGGGCACTTCCAAAGAAATTCAGAATAATCTGCTCGAAGTTTTTCATCAACAAATAAAAAGGAAATTAATAATTCTCCATTTTTGGTTAAGGTAAAAAGTTTTTTTGCAAGAATTGCAGAACACCGCCGCTGCATCAATTGCTTCACGAATTCATAGTCAGTGTAAAACTGGTATTAGAATAATTCCCCCACCCGCCACGGGAACGCCTCCGAAATTAAAGCCTATACAAAAATAACAACAAGAAACCAACCGGGGAAACAATTTAATCTTTCTCGCAGCAGTCGGAGTCGTCCAGACTGTCGGAGGAACTGGAATCGTCCCGGCACGACGACTTCTCGTCGGGATCGTAATAAACCTCGGCGCCGGGAAATATGTACCGGCTGGGCGGTACCAAGTGGAACGAGTTATCCGGCAGGCGATCCGCGAGGCTCTGCTTGACTTTCGGCTGCCAGAAACCGCGCATGTCCGAGCTGCAAGCCGCCTCCTTCTTGTACCCACCGCATTGCGAGTCGTTGATGGCCAATTCCAATTGAAAAGTGCTCGCCTCCTTGCTCTCGCTCTCCAGGTCGGCGAAATTCGAATTGTCGCCGATGCCCGAGTCCCGCGCTGAATCGATGCTCATATGCCTTTCTTTCGAACACTTACCTTCTACTATTTCTTCGGGGTTTTCTATAATTGACGTGTTACACGAGCACGACGTGGATACGTGGCACCCCTTTGTACTATATTCATCCGATTTTAGTCCGACGGCGTTCGGTTTTTCGCTCTCCCGCCATTTGTCGAAGTTGAAGGAGTGCGTTTCTTTGTAGGGCAACAAGTTAGGAACTTCCGACAGGGTCTGAGCGTTGTACACGCCCCTTTCCCAGTTTCTGCCCAATCTGTAATTAAAACAGCTAACAATAAAAACTTATTATAAATAAACGGATTTTTTTAGTCATGGGCAAATACCCGCCAAATATATTTCAGTAAATATCGGGGCATTTACCCTTTAGCGTTAGGGAAGGTATGGAGTTCTATAAAATACAATGTTTTTAAATACCCGAATGTATTAGGTACTCTAAATAACAGGAAAAAAAAGAACATTGTATTCTCAAGGATATGAAATATAGAAACCAAAAGGTAAAATCAACTACAAACTTTAATAGTAAAAACAAAATCAACATCCGTAGACAACTAACAAAAAAAACACAAAAACATATAAAAAAAAAGGAAAACAGTTTTTAGCCCACTAAATAAATATATAGATAAATACTTTGGTAAAAATAAAGCAAAATCCAATCTAATTCTAATCATTTTCAGGCTCGGACTCGACCTCGGCGGATGTATCTTTGTCGATGTTAATATGTGCCACTTCTCTTTCATCTTCCATATCCGTTTCCGTTTCGACTTCGTCCGTATCGTCAATAATATCTATCACTTTTTTTTGTACTAATTAAATGACATGATTTTTTTGCAACACCAGTAGGACCTGCTAATTTTGGTGTTGGTGGTAATATACCTGACGATGATGATTCCAACTATTCCAACACCATAATCAACTTATTTTCAGTCTTATTTGAAGTTATTGTGGGGGACTTATTTTGCTGCAACTTCCAGTTATGTGCAAGGTAAGTAATTTTTCTTTCTCTTACTTTTGTGATGTAATAACGTCTTTTATTGTTAATCCAACTGGAAGTGTTGAAGGATCACTCAGTGGCTGCTGAACTAACTGCAACTGATCATATACACCCCGCACCCAAAAAACCACCCCTGACACAGTAACAAGCTAGATCCTAACAGTAACTCTTCAATATTCATGTCGGCTGAGACTTAATGGATAAATTCCATTACATCTACATTCTCATCGGCGCTTCGGTTTCAACATTGAAAAGCAGGATCTAGCAGAGTTGCAGCCAAATATATTTATTGGATTCAGTGCCATTATTTTTTCTTCTTTTTTCGTGTACTCTGTAGTTCAGTAATAGCATAATGCACCATCATCATGCAACGTTACTATCAAAAATTTTAATTAAAGCTAAGATCGGTTTTAAAATTTGCATCACTTTCTACTCTACTCGCACCAAAAAAATTTCGTCATCTAAAATACGGGCTTTACGTTCTTTTGACAACAAATCTATGACTTGTTAATTTACAGCCAATGTCTGTAGTGCCCTTTGGCAAGTAAATAAGCTCTGAAAAGTATCTAGGTAATTACGCCAGCGTGTTTTAACTGGTTATTTTAAAGTTTTTTCTCTTTATTTAGCTATGTGAATAAATGCCCACTTATGTTTTCTTAGGCGCTGATTGTATCCATAAAAGACGTTAACACTATTTACAAATCTTCTCGATTCCTCCTGCGTTGGTTGTTGTTGAGTCGAACTTGCTAACGTTTCGCCAATTATCCTGTTGGCTTCTTCAGAGCTTAACGGGAAACACATAACTGTAAAGCGCTTTTACCTGAAAACGATGAAAATACTTGAAAAGAATAAAGCAGTACCGAAAAGTACCGAAACGGAAGATCGGGAGATTACACGAAGGTGAATTCAGATGTTTCGGGCTGATAAATAACCCAAGCTGTCATTCACGACGCATAGAGAAGATTCGAATTTCATCTTGGTGAAAACAGGATATTGGCGACTGGGCGACTGGTTAGTCACCAACAACATTCAATTTAATGATAATGAAGGAACTATTACATATAACAAATTTTGATCCAACCATGAGTGTACCTATAACTATGGACATTAAGGCCAATTTTTTTTCTTCTTACGAGTATCCTACCGGAACGTCTTTGGTTAGTTGTTTGTAAATTTTAAAAATTAAAAAAGAACGTATCTTTTAATTTAAAATAAAACTTCACACACATCACAATCCGGCCCAAAAGTCATCGGTTATCAACTCTCTTGTTTACAGAAACTAACCAAAACTATCTCAGCCCGAGTCACTGAACCCAGAATTAAAACATTAATTCAACCTCTTTCTCTGTTCTTCTCTAATAATTAGTAATAATTTCCACATTAAAGACATTAAGCGTTCGATCAAAAAATACACTTCACCACAACCTTCCAATAGCAATCAGGCCGAAAGCCTTGCCACTTACATTCAAAATATCATTGACCATATATCAAAAGTTCTAAAGAAGTATAACCACAAAACCCGATTTACCACTTATCCAAAATCTCTCGACATCTTCGGTCCGTCAATTTGAGATGCCAGGAGTTTACAGCATTCCATGCATATGCGGCAAAGAATACATTGGAGAAATCGGACGAAAAATATCAACTAGGCTCAAAGAACACGAAAGAGCCTTACGATTAAGACAAATAAACTCATCAGCTGTTGCCGAACACAGTTACGAAACCGGACATAAAATTTTATTCGATAAAACTAAAATTCTTGCATGTAATCAATTCTCCTACCAACAATAAATCCGAGAGTCTATAGAAATCTATAAACATGCTAACAATCTTAACCGGGACTCTGGTCTTTACCTGTCACCAACATGGGAATCGGTCATCCGAGACGGTGTTTCTGCCTCTCATTTAGCTCCGCCCCCCTGAAACAATATGTAAGCAAGTACAGAGTAAAATGCGAGCCAGTTTCAGTCAAGCTCTAAAGAAGCCAACAGGATGATTGGCGAAATGTCAGCAATTTCGACCCAGCAAAAACCGACGCAGGAGGAAGCCAGACGTTTTGTAAAAAATAAATACTAATATTTAGATATTATTTTTTAAAATTGTTTTCTAAGTTCTTGACGGTTGACTTATTTGCAGATCAATAAATTATTGTAGCGAATTAAGAAAAACTGTTAATTTAGAAATTAATGTCATTTTCAATTATTTTCTTTTACAAGGCTAACCGACGCATCATATTATATTACTGTTTTGTGTGTTTAATGTTGGTCTAAAATGGGCCAATGTTAGTTATTTGGAATACTTAGTTTTAATAAAAATAAGCATTCTTAAAATTTTTATAAAATTATAAAAAAATACAGACAACTGCGATGAGACCGGCATTCGTTAGTCGTCAAAATTAACATTTTCTTCAGAAGGCTATTTATAAATCTCCTAGATCCCTTCCGCATGCTGTCGACGTTTGCTGACGTTTCGCCAATCATCCTGATGGCTTCTTCAGAGCTTACGTGAAGCTTGCTCACATTCTATTCTGAACCCACTTATATACAGTCTTAGAGAAGCGGAGCTAAAGGAGGGACATGAATATTGTCTCGGATTTCCATATTGGTGAAACACAGAGTCGCGGTTAAGATTGTTTGGTTGTTTAGAGATTTCTATGGATTTTCGGATATTTCCCGGTAGAAGAATTGATTATATTCATTAATTTTTAATTTGATCGAATGAGATTTCGGTTTCATTATTGTTTTTGAAAACTGCTTATGACTTTATTTGTCATAGTCGTATATTTTTTTCTCTGTTTCTCTGGTTAGTTTTGACATGGCTCTTTAAGATATATTGCAATTCGGGAATCTGGAATCAAGCCTACTCTACCGAATTTAAAAATGCTTGTCTGAAACATATTTTTCTTGTAGCGGCCAAATTTATGAACAAGTTTTATCAACCACCGACGCAAGTAGAGGGCAGAATATTAGTAAATAGTCTGTGAAAGTTTCCTTTAAAAAAAAATCTTCAAAAATCTTTGCTAAACAAGTTTGATAAACGCCATATTAGTTTATTTGGCACGAACGGAGCGAGTGCTTAATAAATGAGTGACTGAAGAAATTTACAAAGTTTTGCATAATATATGCGTAGCTCTACCCATGAGAACCGAAGCCCTGGCTAATATGTCACTGGAAATATCCGAAGTGGCTCGCAGCCCTAGGTAACGTCTTTATACTGAATAATAGGTACTTTAGAGCAGAAATTTGAAAGCGGGATTTTTGTTAAATGAAATTGGGAAAAAAATTTAGATAGTATCCAAGGAACTAAAGAAACACTTTTTATATTGAGGCAAAAGTTTATAGAGAATACGTCGAAAATCACCTAACAAGATACTTTAGTACGGAGGTCCATAAACTAGGTATGCACTTAAGAGTATATTTAGAAAAACATTGTTACAACTTACGTTTAGGTACATTAAAAAAAGTAATACAGCAAAATATTGTTCGGTGGCAGTGGTGACATATTATTGAATATTCCGTACTTTACGTACTTTACTTTTTATCCCTCTCATTTTTGTTCAATTTTATTTTTATTTACATCTTGGGGAACAGTGACATTTTAAAATGATAATTGTTACTAAAATATAGAAACGTTACTTTTGAAATTTATTTTGGTTTGGTTAAAAGCAAAAGTCAAGAACTTAAATCCTTTAATAAAATAGTTTAAAATAGTTTTTATATGTTTATATGTTTATATAGTTTTTATATATGCGAAATATTAATATAATATAATTAGACGATAAAATCAATATACTTTATTACCCAATTATTTAGATAAGTATTTGGCAAATAATATGTTAATTTGCAAATTCCAACAACTTATTTTCCTATTGCATTAGACAACCATTTATATTGAATATTTCTATAATATAAATATTTATATGCGATATTTTTAATATTTCGAACACCGCTCTAAATAGTATTTAGCAGAAATTATCGAAAGAACATAATTCTAAAAATGTACCCAAAAATTAAAAAATATTCAAAGGTTATTGCATAATATTCGCATATAAAAATCTAAAACTTGTTGGTGCCACTTTGTTTAATTAAAACATTATTTTAATAATGTTGCTTAATGAAGCTGAAGATTTATATAAAGCAATAATAATTAAATAATCGAAAAATAGCAATTCGTGCAACTAAATAAAAAAAGAATATATTTTTTTAAGTGATCGAGGATGGCTAGGTTGGTACGACCGTTAGACCTACAGCAGCAAGTTGTAGGTTCAATTCCCACCTGGAGCCTTGGGTGTTGTTGTTGCGTTTGTTGTCCGACTTTAACGACTGACTTCAATCTAGTCAGCTGTCTAAGTAAAGACAGACGCGAGTTCATTGAATTAAGGAAAAAAATTGTAACGAATGGACAAGTAGTTGAAAAAAGAATAACTTTATGCAATGAGCGGATTTTCTCAGAATGAAGAGAGCAAGCGAAACAAAAGAGTTTCCCGATGTGTGTCACACAATATTGTTTTAAATTCTATATAGTCTAATATAGTCCCTTTGAATATTTGAAATATCTGTAATACACTAAGTTTAGGTTAGTTTTCAAAGACATACTTGTAAAAACTTGTAGATACACCAGCGCAGGAGAACTCTAGAAGATGGTGAATCTAAAAGTTTAACAACGTTGTTCTAGTCAGATTATATTAACTTACTTTAACTCTAATGACTTGTCTCTAATGTCCACTACGCTGGGTGTAAAACTTTTGAATGACTCCTTTTTGGAAAATAGTGAATTCTTAAGTGACTAGCGATTTTTTAAAAGAGTCGAAAGAAAAAAATAGTTGCCATTGCACACTTTCTTGCCTTGAAATTGATTGATTAAATTAATGGCGATATAAGAGAATAGGCGATTTTTTGCAGTTTCAACACATCCGTATATTCAAACTTTCATTTTTTGCGATAGAGAGCTTTATTTAACTTTAACAAAAAAGGTTATTCACAACAACAAATAAAGCTGAGTTTTATACCTGAAGTACAAAAAAAACATCCGACAATTCATCATTTGAAGTCCAAAAAATATTTGTTTAATAGCTCTTAACGCAAACTCTTATTTAAGGAGCGCCACTATAACATATCACAAATTTTAGAAGGACTTTATTAAGTATTTGAGTAATTGGTTGTATCATAATTTTGTGTGATTATCATATTCGCTTCTCGTCTCACAAAGCAAATCTCAACATAGGGAAAGTTTTGAGCAGAAATTGAATAAGATACAAGTTTACCACAGACGCACCTCTGTCGCGACAGTTTTTCTTGTTAATTTGGGGGTTTTCTGACATCAGAAATCCATTTTCGTGAATAATTTTGGGGCAAATTGTAGACTGCGCTACGTATATTTTTCGTGCATTTGATACTTCCAAACTTTTTTGCGTCATGATGTATGCAGATTTTTAATAAAGGCATCACTTCTTACAACTTTTTTACACAAAAAATGTCGCGCCGAGTCGCTTTTTAGAGAAATCCGCATTTGAAATTTTTGCACCTAATTGAACAGAATGGTGCAAAGTAGGTTAACAGAGTCACAATAAAAGACAGTAAACTAGTGTGAAGTACACTGTGACGAAAACAGACACGATAAAATACTTGCAAAACTTTTCAAAGTAGACTTTGACTAAAACAAATACGATAAAGGCACTTAGGTTCTTGTGCTTTTCTATGCTGTTTTTCAGTATTCTGGGTGTTTGTAAAAAGTTTTGCTTAGTTTTACGATAATATCGAGACCACTTGTTTTTAAACGCGCGACATGATGTCTTTATACGCATAAGAGAATTTTAATAGGTGCCGAGCTCATAGACGTTATTTGGAGATGCTCCAAACCCAAGGAGCCCAGATTTTAAAATTTTAAAGAATATTTCTAACAGACGGCGAAACTGGTTTGTTCCGCCCCGAGAGGAATTCTGTGGGGCGACCAAAAATGATTCTGATGAAGTAGCTGAAATCCGAAAAAAAGCACAGAACGAATATTAGTGGGAACCGGTCAGCAAATCTACAGTTTGTAGAGTTTTTCATCAAGAAAAGTTTAAACCACGACCCAATGTTTTTAAATAATATAATGTTAACAGATGAAGCACGCAGACGTGTCAATAGCGTCAGAAATAAGCATGCGTGGGACTAAAAAACCCCCATTTAACAACTGAACGCCATTTCCAACAGGAATTAAATAACGTTTTATTATGATAAGATCCATCGAACTACCACCTAATTCAAACGACAGGCTGTGTCTAAATTTTTTGCAAATCAATTCGCCGATTGTCTCGATGATCTATCCTTAGAGTTATTTCATGCAAGATGTAGCTCAATCAATTTCCTTCATGGGATTGGCTGCCTAGGAGTCCAGATTTCAATCCCATTGAATTTAGTATTGAGAATGCCGCTGATTATTACAAAATGAAGAATTATTATTTAAAATCAGGCAGTCTTTCAATAAATGTGTCTCTAAATCCATCACTGTAAATAGAAACTAATTTGAATATTAATTACCAAATAGAAATCTTTATTTATTAATAGTTTTTGTATTTTGTAAAAATCTCAAAAATAAATAATATTAAAAACGCTATTAAAGTCTGTACTACCAATATTAGCCCAGTTATATGCAATATCCTGGTTATTTTAAAACTGATGACATAAAAAAATAAAAGAATGATGTATTGAAAATTTCAAGCCCAAATTTCTCGAAAACCACGGCTGGGGACGATTTTTGAGTAAAAAAGATATCAGATTGATATATTTATTAAAAATTTGCATAGACTAAGGTGCACAAAATTTAGTGTCAAATTCACGAAAAGTACGATACATAGCGCCCTCTACAATTGGCTCCAAAATTATTCACGAAAGTGCTAGCGAATGTATGTACTTACAGTTGACAAAGATGATTGATGATGACATCGCAGTCCCCAAGCAGCTCAACATCAAAATGACAATGCGGCAAGGGCTCCCTATTGATCAGTATTTGCGGCACATGGGCCGGCAATGAACTGGGGATCAAGGCAACTGGCCTCACCTTCAGGGAACTACCAATGACAAGGAGCAAGTCACAATCCAACTTATCATTGGCCATCGCTTGGTGAAAGGTATCAGGCAGTCCTTCACCAAAGAACACTATGTCTGGTTTCATTATTCCAGACATGACCAAGTCCTAAAGAAAATCACAGTAGAGGTTTTTCTATGCAACAATAACACAATATACTTTAAAATCTGTAATGCTGCTTCCTAAGTCATCAGTAGAAACAAAATTTGGTTTATTTTCATGGCATACTTCGCAAAGTGGTATTTTCTGTTCCAGAACGATATCCCGGATTTTGTCAGCGCTAACCTTATGATCACACTTGGTACAGGTGGCGGTGGCAAAGGAACCATGACATTCGATAACACTGTCGATACCAGCTTCCTTCTCTAAAGTATCAATATTTTGCGTGTAGTTCCTTAACAATTTTCTATGCTCCTCCAACAATTTTATAAACCTGTGGCATGGGCTAGGCTTAAATTTCCCTGGATATATGTCTCTTGCGAATTTAAAAAAAGGCCTAGGGTCCTGAATAAAAAAATTGATGTCGAACATAGCCTGAGGATCTGGCAAGTTTGGAAAATCTATTGCTAGCCTGGAATAAATCCCATCACGGGACCTAAAATCGGGGATGCCACATGATACTGACACCCCAGCGCCGGTGAGGACAATTACATTTTGAGCACCTGAAAGACAGCTTATAAAATTAAAATAATTTCAACTCCAGACAAAGTTGGCACCTTTTAACAAGCGAACTACATCATCTAGTGAATTGACATGCCTAAGTTTATTCCTTCTAGGCGGTTCAGCCAGCATATTAATTATGATTTTCCACAAAGTAAGATCATCAACATACTGCGGAACTTGATCAAGATCAACACCAAGTTCTGTCAATAACAACCGCGGACTCATGCCTTTCTGCATTTGGTGTTGAATCCAAATCATACTGCCTGCCATAGGTTTCCATTCTTGCCCGCTCAAGTCTGATAACCCGCTAAGTTCACTTAAATGGCTTACTGTTGATGCATTATCATCATCTACTTCAAGACTGTCCTAGAAATGGTACAAACAATGAATTCATTGGCTTAATACAAAAAATCCAATTTTAAGAATAAATCTAATTACCTGTGATATTTCCAATTGATCTGTGTGTGTAGGGGTTTGAAAAAAAGACTCTGATAAACTACACAAACTCCCATGCATGTCTCCAGAATCAGTGTGCGGAGATGTGTGATGTGAGGGAGTTCTAGACTCCATGGTAGATGCTTCATATCCTGAATCGCAATCTGTTGTTGTGGCTGTATTAAAATTGATATTTTAAAATTTGTGCCAAGGAGAGAATACAATTGCAAGAAATATGTCATTTTGTATTTAACAAACTTAAACATTCGTATTGGTGGAAAAATTTCGTTTCTCCAAAATCAGTTATATAAAAATAATTATTTTTGAATTTGTAAAACAAAAAGATTTTCATTTTCCGGACTTCTTAGTTACCAAAATTGATTAAGTTTAAACTCAAACTAACCAAAACTATTTTATTATTTATTTTCGTTTTATTTATTATTGGGCCCAAGAATATATGGAATCGAGCAAAAACACTTGAATAACTTGCATTAAAAAATATATATAATATATAATAAAAATTCAAGCGCCAAGAATATTTTCTTAACACAAAAACGCCAAAAAATAACCACAATAAATAATGTCTAATACAGGTGTATCTGTAATACACTTTCTTTGTAGAAAATACATTTATAAAGATTTTTCTTCCCGCCTTTTAATAAAGGGCAAAATTATTATACTAACAATACTTAAAATTCTTAGAGATATTTACACATCCGCCGAAAAATTGTTGCAGTTTTATATTCTAAAAAAAAATTAAAATCCAAGGCGAAACAAAATTTTAATGTAACAGATATCGGTTTTTCTAGCGATTAAAACTTCTTCGTAAAATAGATAACATTTCCGCAAGAAAAGTTCCATGTTTTATGTTCACAAAAACTTCATAGCAAATTTCAGTTTTAATGTACACCTTAACACATAAAGAAAAATGTTTCAATTTTCCCGCGTTAAAAATTAACAAGGAGCTAAATGCGCAACCAACTGCACATTATTGACAAAAACATTTTTTTTACGACTAACAAAGCTGACCAAAACTTTATTCAAAATAAAACCATAACATAATCACATAAATATTTTTTCAAGTCATATATAAATATACGGTTTAATATAACAAAAACGAAAATAAAAACAAATTTTTAACAATTTTCAGATAATTTTATTGCTTTTTTATGGGATTACAAAACTAACAACGAATTTAACAAATTTCAATGAAGATACAGGTATTTTGAACGAAATAAATAAATAAATTTCGAACGTACACCCCGGTGCACCACGCCTACAAAATGTCCGCAGCTTCGCCTTTGTTTCTAGCCGCCATATTGGATATAAAACTTTTCCCTAAACAAATCAACATACTTTGAAAATATTACCTTCTGTGATGTCGATCGAACTCGAAATTGACGTGGAAAAACGCGAAAATCCATTTCCGTCGGATATTTCGTCAAATTTAGACCCAGAAATATCCAGTTTTATTCTTTTTGCACTCGATTCGTAGTCTTGCACGTCAGGATAGGAATCCATCTTTGACACGAATAAAAACCTTTTGGAAGAGACTAATACCGGAAGCGGACGACGACCGCGCTCTCTATCGGCAGTTTCCCGTTTACATCAGATTTATAAAACGTCACAGATGGAATTTATTGATGTCCATTTTGTGGTAAAATTATTTCTGTGAAGACTTGTAAATCCATTTAATATGCCGAAAAATAAAGGTAATGATTTTAGGTGTTATATAACAAATGAATTTAATGATTTTGGATAAATTTTCTACCTTTTTAATTTGAAAGGACAATTGTTCTCAATATGCTGAAAATTTAATTTTCCTTTTTGTGTTTAGGGAAAGGAGGAAAGAACCGTAGGAGAGGGAAAAATGAAAATGAAACGGAAAAACGTGAACTAATTTTCAAGGAAGATGGCCAGGAATATGCACAAGTTACAAAAATGTTGGGCAATGGAAGGTTAGAAGCTATGTGCTTTGATGGGGTAAAAAGATTGTGCCATATTCGAGGGAAGCTAAGGAAGAAGGTGGATAACTGTTTTAGTTTTAATTGAGTTAAATGGAGTAGATATAATGTTCCAAATTTAAAGGGATTTTTTTTTGCAGGTGTGGATAAATCAGGGTGATATAATTCTGATAGGTTTAAGAGATTATCAAGATGCCAAAGCTGATGTAATATTAAAATATACACCAGATGAAGCTCGAAATTTGAAAACATATGGAGAATTCCCTGAGTCTGTTAGGATCAATGAAACAGTAACTTTTGTCGAGGATGGATTTGATGAGGACATTGAATTCGGTGATGATATTAGCTCAGCTGATGAGGCCGACCCAGTTGATGGCATCTGATAACAAAACCTTAGTTTCCAAATATCAAACAATAGTTGTTACTTCGTATTATATGAACTTCTGAAAGTTTAGACAGGATCGATTATTAAATTGTTTACTTTGCTGTTAAATTCAAGTAGAGAGTTATGAATAGGTTAAAATTAAAGGAATCTAAATTATTTATCTGATCATACTCTGAATTATCCTATAGAAATTTTGCGTTGTAATATAATTTTGTATGATAATTCAATAGTTTCTGTTTATTACATGATCCTGTTCATGTCATGCCATCAGATAAATTGAGTTCCACAGAGTGTTTCTAACTATAATGGAGAAACTTTAACAGCATATTCATTTATATAACCTTATGTCCTAAAATGTAATATTGGGAAAAATATGTTTTTTTCTATTTTTATTTAATTAATTTAATTTTACCTTCAAATTGGGTACTTATTGCCATGTAAAAACAAAGTTTTAGCACAGCTAAACTTGTTTTTGGTTAACCAGTGGCATTTGTGAGACCGTATTAGTTAATTTAAAAAATGCTATAAGTCTGAAGGAATGGGGAAGTTAAAATTGGGAGGGTTCCTGGTACCCTATTTTTTATGGACTAAAAGGTCTCGCAAACAGAAATGATATAGATATCTTCGATTTTTAGATACAGTGATTTTATAAATTCTGCACACACTCTTCTTTTGAAAAGGGAAAACTATAGGATAGGACCCAGTGGAATAGTTTTCTTCTAAAATCCGCAAATTTCGATATTTAAACAAAACTTGTGTTTTGTTGTAATGGAACACCCTGTGTGATTTTTCATATTTTTATTAGGCTGGTTATTAGTTTCTTAAAAATATGTCATATGAGCATATATCTTTTTTTTGGTATAAGTAGACAAGGAAAATATAATTTTTTTCGCATAAATTATATAATTTTTTACAAAAAATTCGGTACGTGTCGACATAAACTTGTGTGTGCGCAATATTAAATGCACATTGATAATCACCTGTATTATATCCAATTTCTCATATTTGTCAATTTGAAATAATAGCAATGAACCACAAAAAAAACTATAAAATGCTATGGCTGGACCAACTGACAATTATGGTATCTATGGTCTCATTGTCATCAAATGCGCAAATTGCAGGAATACATTTTCAATTATACTCGTATATCTTTAATATGTCGTTTGATGAGTCAGCCATTGTGCAATGCAAAATAAATAATCTACGGCAATTAGTCTTGGCGCGGACTTCTATGTTGTCTTGTCAAAATTAAATAAATAAGACAGAAAATTCTGTGGTAGCGGACCGAGAATACCACGGTTGGCCAGGCATTAAACCTGCCAACTCGACTTGCCGGAGTGTGCGGGTTCAATTCCCTTGGGTGTTGTGTGTGTGTACAAAATTGTTATCCGTCAAAATTTTCCTCGGTGGATGCCGGAATTAGCCCATTTAACCGTAACAAAAAATTTTGTGGTGAGCGGATTAACCTCTCTTTGCTGAACCTCACTGCCGAACCATGGCACATGGTGGACATTTGTTCCAGCCCGGCTCCAAAAGTTAGATATCGGTTGAAAAATTGTGTCGTTTGAAAAAAAAATGTTTAGTACATTTTCTAATTGAACTGCTACACGCGTAGTACCTATAGTTTTGTGAATTACTGCTTGTTTTGTGTGGATGATTATGGATTTGTACAGTGTAATGCTCGGTTTCCGGATGTCTTATATTCATGCTTGTATCCAGACCAAATTACTCTAGTTGCAGGGCCAAATAAACTAGAGTTGTGTCAATCACGATTGATTCGGTCACTTTGATTCAATCACTTCATAGGATCGAACGACCGAATCCCGCTTGTTCGTAACGATTCGATCACCTTGTTTGCTGTCGCTGCTGCCCTGACCGATCTGAAGTGACCGAATACAGGACGATCGATCGACCGACCGAATTCGCCGGAATCATTTGAATGGTATAAGATTTAAATGCATGACTAAGACAGGTCACGAAAAAGGAATGGGAGTATTGTTATAATTATTCTATAGTATTGAGTTGCGACATCGATCTATAGATTTGCTGATGTGTTGAAATGAATATTGAATGAAATATCTATTTCCACACAGGTATTTAATTTAAGCAAATTGATGTATTACTGGTACAACCCAATACGTAGCACCTATTTTGATAGAATCGTGATTCAATAAAAAGCAGAACCCAGCTAAATATTATACTAACTACGAGCAGAATAGAAAACAAACCCAACAATCATTCAAAGTCAAATGAATCTGAATCGGTCGTTCGGACTGTTCGGATTCAGTGACTATTGCCGCTTATGTTGGCATCAAAAAGTATTGAAATGATTCGGTCCTTTTCGAAATCGGTCACTGATTGATTCGGTTCTCGTAAAATGAACGATTGACGCAACACTAAAATAAACCAATAAATAAAAAAAACTTTCTCCCTACAGAATCCTTTGTATTCCGTAAATAAGTTTTGGTTTCGGTTTGAATTATGTGGCATCAGCCATTCGGAATTCGGAAATTTCGCCGGTACGGAGGCTGGATGGACCTAAATTCGGTGGAAGCCGTTTTTATTTTTTGTAATTGGAGCAAACATTAAAAATAAATTGAATATGTTAAAGTTTGATGTTGGTCAGTTACGAAAGAAAGTGTAATCGTCACCGGATGTCGGCAATGGACGAGTGTCCCTTTGCAAGCGGCACGGAAATTTTAAATAAAGGAGAAGATAATATGACAATTGGCAATTAATATGCGGCATAGATATAAGGTGTTGAGTAAAGATACAACTTCAGTTTTCAGCATTTGAAAATGGAAAATATTAAAGCAAAAGACATGAAATTCAAGCTCCATTCAGGCGATCTGATACCCTTTATAGGGTGTAGGTTAAAAAATGTGTTATGGTACTGTCGCAGACGTGTAGCTATTTTTGTTTAGTAGGAACTTATCTTATTGAAGGGCGATCCACACTTGAGATTCTAGACAATGCACTTGCGGCTGGATACAGACTTTTTGGTAACCGATTATTTAGTGCATCTTTATTGTAAGTTATTAATTTTTTTAGATACTGCAAAAATGTATGGCAATGAAGATGACATTGGTAAAGCATTCAAAAACCTCTTGCCTAAACATAAATTGAAAAGACAGGATATCTTTATTACAACAAAACTCCGTAAGAGATTTAACAGGTCTAATCCTTTAACCTTCATATATAAATTTTGTTCTTAATAGTACCTAGTGATCAGGGGGCAAAAGCATATAACGCCTTAAGGGAATCTTTAACAAAACTGGATTGTGGTTATATTGATTTATATCTAATTCACTGGCCTGGCACTTATGGTGGAGGTAATGCTTCTAAACTGAGAGCAGAAAGCTGGAAGCAGATGGTAAGAGCTGTTAATGAAGGTCTTGTGAGAAATATTGGGGTTTCAAATTATCTAGTCCGACACTTACAAGAACTTCTAGCTAATCATCATGGTGTAAAACCAGCCCTGAATCAGGTTAATTTTAAAATGTTTGGTCTGTTTCATATTGATATTATAGGTTTAAAGGTTGAGTGGCATCCACACTATCATCCATCAGATTTGTTGGAATTTTGCAAGAAAGAAAATATTTTATTGCAAGCTTATATGCCTTTAGGGGGTTCTGGTAATTCCAACCTGCTTAAAAATAAACAGGTGCAGCACATTGCCACTAAACTAAAGAAGAGTCCTGCACAGGTGCTTTTGAAATGGTCTTTGCAACAATATGTTGCAATTATTCCTAAAGCAAGTTCTAGAGATCACATGGCAGAAAATATTGATCTAGATTTTATCATTCCCAATGATGACATGGATGTATTAAATAGTTTTAAAACTGTTAAGTATGATTGGGATCCTGAAAGCATTCGCTAATTTTTAATGTTTGATTCATTGTAACATATTTTATAGCATTGTAATACAGTTTTTTCCATTAAATTTGTTGTAACTTGTACCATCCTCTACACCACAAAAATAGATTTATGGTTTCATATACCTAATTTTCAGTCGCATTGTGTTAGACCTTGGGCTCCTCTTCCAACCTTATGAATAAATCCTTTATTTGCCAACAAAAGAGAAGTTATTGGGCTCCACTTGCAAAGTTAAGTAAAAATAGAGATATTGCTAAACTAGTTTATAAATTAGCTGATAGACAATTGTAAAATTGAGTTTCCACTTGTTTGTGATTCTGATGCGACAAGGGTCAAGTTTATGAAATTAATATGAAATTTCAGATTCTAGACGGATATAAACAATTTATAACTTGTTCTTGTAAAATTGCATCAGGTATTAAGATTGCAGTTGTCAGTAATTTATTTGTTAATTGATAAAATGAAATTAAAATGTGTAATTTTTATCATGGAACGGCCCTTTATATTTCCTCCTATTGGACCATAAATAAAAATCGCTTTTATCAATCTTGGGGTTGATTGAATTCGACCGTCGGCAGTTTGACTTGCCATTTTCTGTGGCGTTTTTAAGGCAGTATTTTTTTAAAATATGACCAAATACCGTTCAAGGAACAGCCAGTTTAGTGTGTTTCGAAATAAAATGCCGCGAACTGCAGGCGTGTAAAATGTAGGGGCATGCGCAGAACATTCCCACGAAAATATAGTTGCCTGAGGCAAAGTAATTTTTAACTTTATAAGCTATCTTATCTAATAGGTAATGTCCAGCAATATAGTGACCAAGAATATGTTGGTTAGAACCACTTTAATCACCAAAAGAGTGGAAAGCCAATCCATTTCCCATTCAACATTTTTGTTTGCTAGTTGTACAGACATAATACGTACTAAATTTTAGTATATAACCGTCTAAAGAAGCAACTTATTGTGATCGGGAAAAAATCGCGTTTATGCCATTTTTTAGAGGTTTGCGATTGATTCAAGAGTCGTAGGTAATTAGGTATTGCTTTTTTGATTTTAAGATTATATTGCTACTACGGCAGAACAGTGACGTAAGTGCAAAATTTAATCATTAATCTTTAAATATAAATATTTTTGTTGAATGTCATTTAAAGGGAAAATTTCATTTTCGTTTTTTGCTTCTCCTGAAGAATTATGCTTTTTGCAGTTCGGTCACTGTTCTGCCGAACAGCGATATGAGGTTCACACCGTTCAATCAGTTATGGAAACAATTACGCCATAATTCTAGATTGTACTGTAACACAATTAAAACAATAAAATGTTATATAAAATATAACTGCACGCCACTGTTTTGTTGTTGTCGCGTTGCCACCACTAATTTGAAAACGTCACATCTGCCGATAACAAGACAACGTTGTCAGATCTTCAGGAAGGTTTTAATGCGCCAATGTTCTATTCACCTTTCAAAAAGGCTTTCAAGTTTTTTATATTATCAAACAGTTACAGGCAAAATCTTAGCGCCTACTTACAAATATTAAACGATATAAATTATCTCAAAATTTTACATCCAGTGTAGAAACCCAACATTCTGCAAGCGTTCTGAAAATTTAGCAACATCGCACAGCTTTTCGAAAACGCGAAACCTTAAGCACATAAGTTCAAGTTCATGGAGTATATATATATATATAAAGCTGGTGCAGCGAACTATCAGCTGTTTGTTTTTGTCATTTGGTTATAACAATTTAGATAAAATATCGGGATGACTTCGAGAGATAAGGCTTCGAATCAATTGTTGGACTATAAGATTCAAAATACTGGGGTAAGTTCTAGTAAGTTTTGCTAAGTCGTTTAGTTTAATTCTGTTTCGTTTTATGGGTATTAGCATTATATTATGTACTTGAATTTGAAATATATATATTATAGTTTAGTTTAAACAAATGATACAAGTACAAACTACCTAATAAATAATACAGTCATTTAAAGTAATTATACGCCTATAAAAAAACAACAAAATAAAAAATAGGCTACCGCAGTGTATACAATAATAGGTTTTTGCGGTTAATTTTTGGTAAGACATTTAAACAAGGGGGCAATGTCCCTCTCTGCCATGGCACACAGTATACCATGGATTTTCTCATTGTCTGTAGAATAAATGGTGCATATTAAGCTTATGTGATTTATAACCACCTTCAGCTGACGAATATTCAGCGCATATGTTCAATTTTTAAAAATTCAGGCAACCACGAAAACCGTTGGTTCGATCCAAATAATTATTGAACCAGAAGATGCCAAGACGTGCCAGTTATGTTTTGTATTTATTTTCGCTGTTCTAAAGGGTGCGTGAGATTTGAAACATATTTTATATTTACCAAAGTGCTCGGGTACGTCTATTAGTATTTGAAACTACGTTTTTGATGTAAGAAAATTTTACAAGTGGTTTTGGCAAGATTGGCAACTATTACTAAAGTTAAAATTTAAAATGCTGTACTTAACCGAAACCCCAATATGGAAATTTTAATTACGATTGAACTTGGAGAGAGGTTAAAAGCAAAATGAATTGAGACTCCATTCAGTGTAGAGGTCAAAATCGATTTAATTTTCTCTGTTGTAAAATAACAATCCTTCAGAAACTCACAGAAGATGATCTGGATAAAAGAGACTGCGCTGACTGAGACTGAGACTAGACAGAAATGTTCTAACCAGAGAACACATATTGTTTTCTGAGGATTAAGTTGAATTAATTGGAATAATATATTATGCAAATGATTTGATAAAGGACATTTTAGTCATGAGTTTGTTTAGGCACCAGCGCAGCGGAGCGTTGCAAAGCGGGGAATAAACTGGGGACTGAATAACTGAATAACATTAGAACTAACAAACATGAGAATACCAGCTACTTAAGTATCGGAAATGTCCGAAGTGGTTCGCGGCAATGTTTAATGAAGTTGAGGTCTTGAAATATCACTTTGTGCGCGCTTAATCATAATTGGGTATTTTATAGTAAGGAGCAGAAACAATTAATACATATATTAGGCAACAGCATCCAATGGTTATTTAAAAATTGCCATTTTAAAAAATGGTCGATTATGTCATATCTTAAATTTGTGATTATTATGACACAATAGTCATGACTAAATCCCTACATCTATAAATCTAACATGTATGCAAAATAGTAATAATAAAACAAATTTCACAAATTAAGCTTATACTACTTATCACAGATTACAGATTCACGAGATATTAATGGTTTATTTCAAAATTCCGCCAGACAGACTTGTCTTATTTTTAAAAGGATTTAGATTTTATGTGAATCATTTATTAATAGGACAATGATCTCGTACACTGACTATTTCAAAATTTTTAGACCTCTATATATGTAGTTTTGGAAATTATGTAAGTACTATGTACTACATTTACTGACGATAAACCAAGCAATAATATTAAATTACTGTGGCAACTTAAGCACGCAATGTTTATATAGTTTTTATAATGTTATTGAGCTGCAAAATAACTGCGTCGAAACATGTGGTTTGAAGTAACAATTTTGATTTGATGTTGGAAAAATATTTTTTTTCTCAGTTGTTTTTTCAGGCTAATTTGACATTTAATGAACACTACGCTCATGTTATTAATGAAACAGTAGAAATACGTAATTAGGATACCTACCATAATTAAACTCTATTGTGCTTTAGTGAGAATGCGTTTTGACAATGACATTGATGACATAATACGTTTCTATTTAAAATTTTATTTAAATTAAACTGAATATCTTTAAGACAATATATCTTCTTAGATAGACGCAAACTATCTTTCATATTTGTGTATTCAAACCAAATGCAAAAACGCTATTAAGTCTCGATTTCAAAATTTTTCAGAAGAGCAATTTTAAAATGGGAAATATGACACATTTAACCATATTAACTAGGTAAATATGTTTTCTAATTGCGTGTTGATGATACCTAATGTACAATTAAGCACAAAATAATTGTTTTTGATAAAAATATAAGTAAAATCATCTCTTTTGCTTTATTTGGGGTTAATACTGTCGGGCTATTATGATGGACTTAATTATAGTACAACTTAATACGACATTTTATGGCTTAACTTTGATGACGTGACATGAATTTTTGTATTTTGTGTTTCTACTTCTTGTTCTTTTATTTTAATTTTAAACAAAAGGAACTTCTAACATTCAGTAAAAAAACAAAAACCCTTCATATATTAACTCTAGACAATACTTTTTTTTTATTTAAAAAATGAAGAATTTTTATTCATCTTTAAAATTTTATGGGGGTAGGTTTGTAAAAAAATTGTGAAATCTGAATGCTCTTTTAACAACAAATTTCAATTGCAAAAAACCAGCACAGATTAACTTAATACAGGTAATGTGTTATCATCCCTTAATCGTGTGACATTAGGTACTCAGCCGGGATTCTGTCGGTGAGCATTGCACGCGGTATAACCTCCGTTCGTTCCCGACAGAATCCTTTGTATTCGTCCCCAATAATTATGGAATCGGTTTCCACCGAGTGGATTTAGTGTTTTTAGTGTCTAATGAGTGTTTTAAAGGTGCAATCGTCGCCGGTCCCTCGGTTTTTTCCTGTTCACACAGGTATGGAGGCCGGATGGGCTCGGGGGAAGCGGGGGAGGGCATTTTTTGACGGTAATGGGCGAATGGCCATAGTAGTGTTGCCCAACTGTTTGTAAAGAGCAAAGAAGAAGAAGGTACTCAGCCTTTAAGTAAGGTAGATTATTAAATGGGGTTTGGAAAATTGCCTAATAAATAAGTAAATAAATTTTGTACTCATTAAAACAACGTAACGGGCTCATTCTTACTTTTCAATATAATATGGCGAACGAGTTGCTCAATGTTACATTTTGGAAAACAATAATTTTTATTTAAATATTACCAACATTGCAAGAGAATTACCATTGAATATACTAGAAAATTAGCATAGAAAGCGAAACTAAAATGGAGAATTTTCAATGCCGCGCGGTCAATGTCGGGGGTCGCGAAAATTTTAAATAAATTTAGATAGGTAAATATTAAAAAGAATGAAACCATATAAAATTTGTCATTGCGAAAAACATTCGGGTAATGTGGATAGAAGGTACACTATTCGATATCTTATCGATTAATTCGCAATTTTAAACAAATAAAGCTAATTTTCCATCACGTTTTAACATTTCGTGATTGTGCTACGTTTTGCTGGTCCGTTGCAGTTTCTTTTTATCGCATCGATTGACGTAAGCCGATCTTACAAATATTTTAAGTTATTAAATGCTGATATTAGTTAAAATTATTGTCAAAATGGAAATAAAGATAACCTTTTACTGTTTATCAAAAAGTTAGATTTGCTGAATACTTTTTAATCAGTCGTTGACTTTTATATACAGAATGACCCATCAGAAAAATACCGCAAGGGAAAGATGTAACGTTTCGATAAGATCCATAACACGAGTGAATCGTGTTTCAGATGCACAGCGTAATTAAAATCCTTTTAATTTAGGTGTCGGATGACCCCCGTTCTCGCATTTAATTTGAGAGGTAACGTCTTTACATAGTGAGTTTAAAGTTTTGCTGTGCTATTTGCATGACGGGATTTTGGATTTAGTCTAAGTTCGGTCGGAATTGCCTTGAGGTACTTGAGACGTTTTCTTCTGCGAAAATCTTGTCAAGTCATATGTTTTGAAGTTGACCGAATGATTTTGCAAATTTTATTAGTTACCATTAAATCGATCATTCAGACTTGACAACCGTCTCCATAGCTTCGAACTTCTCCCTAAATCAGAACGAACCAACGATAGCGTTCCTCCCTTCTATTTTGTGGGACATACATACGTTTCTAACGCATTTGTTTATTAAGCAAGGTTTTAACGATTACTAATGAAATTTAAAAAAGTCTTTCGGTCTTCAACATTTCTGCACTCATTGGCACCATCCACAGACACAGAGGATAGGCTTCTCGGCAAAAGGAGCGCTTCACGAAATGATAGCTTGTTATAGGCTATTTCATAAAAGTATAGTTCAGTCGGCTGTAGGCGTGGGTAAACTATTGGCAATAATATTATTTTTGAGCCCTATTGTAAATCCTGGACTAATAAATCCGTTTTATTGTCGTTTCTTATTGTTTATCATATTACCTGATATATGTGATAAAATATCTTTCAGCTGATTCAGTAGTAGTTATGGATAACGTAAGCTAATATTTACGACGTATAGAGAAAATCATCATCTCGAAGAGAATAAGAAATTATCGTCTGATTAACCACAAAAATTTTGAAGATAATTTGATAAATGAACTATTACATACATCTACTACTCTTTGCTTAAACCATTGAGGAAGTGACACCAAAGTACTAGGAAAAAGCAGTCTAGCAGGTCATCAAAGAAAAGAAAAAATGTGGGATCTTGACTACTATTGCTAACGGACCGTCGCACAGTGGTTCAAAAAGACAATTCAGAAAATTATTATCAAAATATTCAGACACTTTTTGCCCATTAAAGCAATATTATGGGTGTAGTTGGGTTTCAGAAGATGTGATAAAGGTATTCCAATCAAATTATGTGCAGGGTGGTTAACCAACTAAAATAATAGAGGATCAAGCAAGGAAATATTATAATTATTTATTATTGACACGATTGTTCCTAACATAGATTGATGATTAAACTGAAATAGTTTTTTAGTCGGAATCAATTTCTGGAGCAACAGCGATGGGTATGTTGAAGCAGACTTCTTACTTTTTCTGGCAAAGAATGTCTAGGTTCATCTGGTACTTTGCGGTAACAATTAATTAACAGGGCGGTGGTTAACAACA